TCCACCAGATGCTCTGCCGGGGAAGGAGGGGCAATCTCCTCCTGTACCAGTCAGATCTGATTTGATGGTACACGCACACAAAAATAATAAAATAATAAAAAAATTAAAGAAAAAATAATTTAAAAAATTAAAGAAAACTTTGAACATTTTAATCTTTCTGAACCTGGATCTCCTAATATGAAAAAGAGATAAAATTCTAATGTCAAAGGATCTGAAGGAAAGTACCTAACACTTGTTAGATAATTAACAAATGTGAAGGGCTTTCCTTCTGCACAAAGTCATAGAGCAAAATTTAGAGCATAGAGCTCTAAATTTAAAATAAAAATTTAAAACATAGAACACGTTTCCTGCCAGAGCTACTCCCACTATTCATCCTGTACACACTTTAATGAGAAGTAGGAGTTCTTCGGGACTGTACTGTCAAGGAAAGAGGAACAAGAAAATAACTCTGCAATCTTGACTCTTAGTAAGTTTTATTCTTCAGCATTCAGCACATAAGAGATGTTTTTCTGGTCAACTACCTCAGAACTGAAGTACTCTCTGAAGGTCTAAGGTCTGCCTGGTGGAGCAGTTAACACGCTCAACTGCTAACCAAAAAAGCTGATCATACAAGTCCACCTAGAAGTACCTTGGAAGAAAAACCTGGCAAAAATTTGTCACTGAAAATTCTACAGAGCACAGTTTTAGTATGACACACATGGGACTGTCATGAATTGGCGTCGAGCAAGTACCACGGGCTAGAGATAGTTTAGACTCATTTACAGGGACAGACACAAAATATGATCTTGCTGCCCCAAGCATGTAACAGACTGAAAACTGTAACTCACAGCTGAGCCTCCAGTGGGTTTTCAGAGGCTGAAAATCACACAGGAGGAGATTCCCCATCTCTCTCCTGAGGAGCTGCTGGCAGATTGCCTTTGGGCTGGTAACACAATTCGTTACCCACTAGGCTGCCAAAGCTCCCTACATATAACAGAAGAACCACAAAATAAGAAGAACACATACATTTTTCACTTAATACTTCTTTAATAAGATTAGCAAAAGAGAAGGGAAAAAATAACAGAGGCAGAGGGTGACTGTACTTACAGAGTCTGAAGATTTGAAAGAAACCTAAATACACCATCAGCAACATGAGTGACTCTGTTGTCCCCTAGATTCAATCTCTCCAGTAAACTCAGACCAGCAAAGGCAGATTCATCCAAACGCGTCAACTGATTATAGGACAGATCACTGAAAATAGGAAACATGGGAGGTCAGGAGTTTATTTTATTTTGGTTCTACTTTTAACTTTTAATTTTATTTACACAATAAATTTAGAGCTTTCAAAAATCTTCTAGAAAATCAGGACAACACTTAACTTTCATTACTGCCCATGGGGATGACTTATTCCAACCTGCTCTACTCCCACAGTCTCCACTAAAATGTGATCCAACACTTACAGTTCAGACAGTCTTTGGCAGAACTCCCACGCATCAGGGCTGATTCTTTCTATAGCATTCTGGCTCACATAGAGCTGCTGTAACATTCGCAAGCCATACAACCATCCTTTGTTCACTTCTGTAAGGTTATTGTTTTCTAGTTCTCTGTAGAATTAGAGCAGAAAATCTGTTTCAAAACAAAAGCATTATAAGGAGAAGCACTATCTCCAATCCTCATTAAGTCTTGCATAGAGAGGCATTATAGTTGTGTCCAACTGAAATAAGCTTAAGATGACTTATGCTTTATTCAGTAATATTTACACTTTATTAAAGATTTACTACTAGAAAGTGGTGGTGGTTGTTATTAGCCATCAAGTCCAGTCTGACTCATAGCAACCCTATGGATGTGGAAAGACTGTCCAAAATATCAGGTCTACAAAATATGTATCTATTATAAATAAACTCCAACAATTTTTATTAGCCAAAACATTCAGGGACTGAAAACTTTTTAGATGAGATGTTTGAAAAACTATAAAATACTACTTTGCTAAAGAATGTTTTCTGCTCTAAGTTTTTTGTTAGAACCACGTCTTTTCAGTAACAGAAAGCATTTTGAATGAAATGTAAAATTAATTTTTTAGTTTAGCTGGATTTTTATACAATTAGTAAGACACACACACATAGGAGGCAAAAGTGGCATCCACTTCCTAAACAACATGCCTCCGGAAACTATGAACTTTGATAAATGTCGACAGTTGTAGAGGGGCTTCAGGCCTTTTGTTCACAGGATCGCTATGAGTCATGCTCAACTTGAAGGCAATCAACAACAAGGACACACACATGTACCAAGGGGTGTTGGGTTGGGCTTGTGGGAAATCTGTCCAGATTCACACAGGCATATACACTCCCTCGAGATGGCCACATGCACTCAAAGTGGGATAGACACTTCTCACTAAATTCCAGAAGCAGAAAAAGCAGGGGAACACTCTGTCCCACTGTTCAAGTGCTAATAAAGATTAAAAGACTTTTGGTGCACTTATTTCACAACAGAAAATGAATAATGAACTAATAATAAACATCTGTATAATCAAAGCAACTACACAACTTGTTTGACACTCAAAAGCAACTCACTCTTTTTCTAAAAATTTTCAATTCTAGTTGCTATTACTTACAGTTCTTCCATGTTATCCAAACCAAAAAAAGCTCCATCCTTGAGTTTGCTGATTCCATTCCGCTGCATTTTCAAAGATTTTAAGGAATCAAGCCCTTGGAATGTTAGGCCTTCCACAATTTTAATTCTGTTTCTTTTAAGTTCCCTTTGATAAAAATTATTTGAGTCAGACGATTCATTTGTTCATATAAGAATTAAAAGAAAAAGATATTGTAAGAAAAACTACCTTCTAAAAAAAAAAAAGAAAAACTTTCGAACTTTCTTCTTATAATTTTTCTATTTAGTTACTCACAAGAATTGCAGGTGAGGCAGCTTGAAGATTTTAGGTGGGATCATGCTAATTCTGTTCCGGTTTAACTTAACCACTAACAGGGAACTCGACAAATTATCGAAACAACCAGCCTCTAATGTGGTTATTCTATTATTGCTCAAATTCCTAAAATGAGAAAGTTGACAATAAAGATTTAGCAAAAAATTTTATCACTGTCCAAAATCCATGACTCGAGGGCACACAACAAAATCCATGACTAAATCCCAGTTCTACAGCTCATCAGCCATTTATAACACTGTGAATTACTTAACCACTCGTTTCTTCATCTACAAAATAATTCCTCATTTTTTAATGTAAGTAACATACATTATATAGAGCTTTTTTGCAAACTACACAACTCTTTCATCCTAGTTTCCTATGAGAAGTAGAGTATTATGTGTGCATACATTGTATGTTGTTGTTATGTGTCATTGAGTTGGAACCAACTCATAGCTGACCTCCAGCAAGTTTTTAAAAGCAGTAAATTTCACAGGAATAGACTGCCCATTATTCTTCTGCAGAGCAGCTAGTGAATTCGAACCACATACCTCAGGTTGGCAGCCCAATCCCTTACTACCCAGCCACCAGAGCTGCCATGCTTGGGTCAGAGCTATCATACATAGGGCACTATGAGACACAGGCAACTCGATGGTACATAACAACATTTTTGGTAAAAATAAAACACGTTCATTTGGTCTAATATGAAACATTATGTGTGAATGTCTTATATACTGTAAAACAATGGCAAATCTTTCAGTTACCATTAACAAAACCATTCTTATTTTCCTTTTTAAAAAGTTTAGTAAAAATGCAGAATGAAATTGCAAAAATTATTGTATCTCTATCAATGTTTCATGAAAATAATTCGTTCAGCATTTTGTAAGCTGAAAGAACTAAAGACTAAATTCAAGCCACGAGCTGCAATGCTTAAGAATGCTATGGGCAGAATACTGAATGATTCAAGAAGCATTAAAAGCATATAAAAGGAGTATACAGAGTCATTGTACCAAAAAGAACTGGCTAACACAGAAGAATTTCAAGAAACAACATATGAGCAAGAGGCAATGGTGATGAAGGAGGAAGGTCAGATGGTTCTGAAGGACTTGGCAAAAAACAAAGCCCCAGGAATTGATGGAATACCAATTGACATAGTTCAGCAAACTGATGCTGCCCTGCAAGTGCTCACCAAGTTGTGCCAAGAAATCTGGAAGACAAGTACTTGGCCAACTGACTGGACGAGATCCGTATTTATTCCCATTCCAAAAAAAAAAAAGTGACCTGACAGAATGTGGAAATTATTGTATAATATCACTAATATCACACACCAGCAAAATCCTGTTGAAGATTACCCAGAAAAGATTTGAACAGTAGTACACTGACAGAGAACTACCAGAAATACAGGCTGGATTTAGAAGAGATCGTGGCACTAGGGACATGATTGTCAATGTCAGATAGATCTTGGCAGAAAGCAGAGAGTATTAGAAGAATGTCTATCTGCGTTTCATTGAGTATGCAAAAATATTTGACTATGTGGATCACAAAAAATTGTGGCTAGCCTTGAGGAAAATGGGAATCTCATAACACTTGATCATGCTTATAAAAAACCTATACATGGACCAAGAAGCAGTCCTCAGAATAAAGCAAGGAAACACACTGAAACGAATGCGTCAGGGATGCATCCTGTCCCCTTACCTTTTCAATCCGTATGCAGAACAGATCATCCAGGGAGCAGGGCTTTATGATGAGGAGTGTGGCATCAAGATTGGAGGGAGAATCAGCAACAACCTATGATATGCAGATGACACAACCTGGCTTGCTGAAACTGAAAAAGACCTGAAGCACTTGCAAAAGGTCAAGGACTGTCATCTTCAATATGGATTGAAGCTCTACATCAAGAAGACAAAGATTCTCATCACTGGGCCAACTGGCAGCACCATAAATAGATAGAGAAGAGATTTAGGTTGTCAACAATTACAGCTTGCTCAACTCCACAATCAAAACTCTTAAAACTGTCAGGAAATCAAAAGGCAAATTGCATTGGGAAAATCTGCTGTCATGGACCTCTGCAGAGTACTGAAGAACAATGATGTTAGTTTAGATACAAAGGTGTGTCTGATCCAGGCTATGATCTTCTCAATTACTTGTTATACTTCAGAAAGTTGGACAATGACTAAGGACGACAGAAGAAGAATAGATGCCTTCAAGTTGTGGTGCTGGAGAAGAGTCTTGAACATACTACGGACTGCCAAGAAAATAAATCAGCCTGTCTTGGAAAGGATGAAACCAAGTCTCTCCTTGGAGGCTAGGATTTTGAAGCTCTGCCTCACTTACTTTAGGCACATGGCCAGGAGAGACAGGTCCTTGGAGAAGAACATCATGCTCAGAAGGGTGGACAGACAGCACAGGAGAGCGAGACCCCGGATGAGATGAATTGATACAGTAACTGGGGTGGTGGAGGTTGGTGTGTCAGAATTATTGAGACTGGCTCAGGACAGGGAAGGGTTCAGAGCTGCTGTACATAGGGTCACTATGCATCGCAGGAGACTCAACCAGTAACATTCTATGACAGGTATGGAAGCAGGAGTGGCATCTACTTCCTAAACAACTTGCCTCTGGAAACTCTATGAACTTTGATAAATGTTGATTGTTGTAGAGGGACTTCAGATCTTGTGTTCACAGGGCCTCTATGAGTCATGCTCGACTCAAAGCCAATCAACAACAACAACATGTACTCTATGAATTAAAAAAAAGAAAACAAAAAAATGACCCTAAACTTTGTTTAAATATACATTTTTAAATAACAATAAATTGTAAAAATTTCATGTAGGGCAGATCATGAATGATGATCATGCATTTTAAAGTAAATGTCATTTAAACTCTATTTTACTTACAGGTATTTAAGCTGCATACGAGGAAATGAAGACGCCTTGATTTCAGATATTATATTTGAGCTGAGATCTAAATTCTCAAGGGTAGGGTAAAACTGGAGCACTTCTGCACTTATTTCTGGTATTATATTATGCACTCTACAAAACAAAGAGCATACTGAAATGACTGACAACAATCTACCCCAGGTCAAAAGAATGTTAAGTAAATAAGACAAATTATATGAGTGCTTACAACAAACCAATCACACACTATTTGTAAAAGATGCAAAAATCTTATTTACTTACAATGAGAGTGTAGTAATATTAGAGGTCGCTTCACCAAAATATGGAATTTCTGTTAATTCATTGTAATTCATTTTCCTAGGGAGAGGGAAAAATAAATTTACAAGTTTAATGAGAGAAATGTTTACTTGAGGTCTGATTTCTGGCTAATACCTAATTAGGACAGGTGCCAAATTTGAAAACCTCTATGACTCAGAATGAGTTACACTATAATAAAAATACACTATACTAAGAAATCAGAGACATTAACAAATAAACATTTTTATATTAAAAATTTTAATCCCAGCAAGATCTTGGTTCTTTTAACAAATCATCTGGGTTGTTCTTAAACAAAAATGGAATAAACACTCCATCCAGAAGAGTAACTTTGTAAATGACATAATATAAATGTCACCATCTGATCCAAGCAGTCCTTTAAAGAGATTATTAAGTGTTCTGGGAGAAATCTCATACAATCACACTACATTAACCTGGTAGTCAAATAATCTTCAGAAGTAAAATATTTTTAAAAAGTCAAGCAATGTTGTTACAAAGCCCATCCAATTAAACTTTATGAATTCCACTATTTTCAAGATTTCTTAAGTACCTACTATTTCAGCCAATAAATTTATGAATCGTTTGTTCAGATCATACCAGATTAGAAGTCAATTTGAGATGCAGGGACTATGAGAGAGTACACTTGTCAGCAATGAATTAAAAAGAAAAATAAACCTCAGTGTTTGGAGAGTGTTTCACAGAGGAGCAAAGATGCCTCAATTTGTGCACTGGCAACATCACAGTGTAGTAATTGATATTAATATTTTATAAAATTCCCTACAAAAGGAGATCTCAGTTTTAAAGGACAAACATCAGTCAACTGGAAAATTTAATTGTAGTTATTAATGAATTTAGTTGATAGCATTACTATGCATTTGACGTAAATACTATCATATTTATATTTTCTATATAAATACTAAATGATATAAAATATACTGTATAATATTTCATATAAACTTACTTTAGTAAGTTTACTTTGGTAAGTTTATACTCCATTTCAGTTTATATTTCCATTTCAGACAACAAGTCAAGATATCAAAAGGTTTATGCAACAGAGTTCTTCACTGGTTGAACAAAACTCTGTTGAAAAACATACCACATCTACTTTGAAGAGGGGAGATACTCTATATCTGTTTCAAGAAAGTACAACAGGGAGCTCTGGTGGCCTAGTGGCAAGAAGCTGCACTGCAATTCCAGTGGTACTCAGTTCAAATCCACCAGATGTTCTGCTGGAGAAGGAGGGGCAATCTCCTCCTGTACCAATCAGATCCAACTTGACAGTACACATACCCACATACACACAAGAAAGTACAATAATAATCTCACATACTTTACAATTTCAAACCACCGAACCAGTGGTACAATGCCTGGCATTTTTGTAATAGTAAGAAAAGAGCTTAGGTTTTTTAATTTCAAAAAAGTTATTTCATTATTTTCTTCAATTTCTTGATAGCACTTCTGAATTGAATAGGCCAACCTTCAAAATTTATTACATCATCTTAAGAAATACAATGTAACTTTCAATTCAATGAAAGTAACTTACACTTCCTGCAATGTCTGCAATTCCAAACTTATGTTCCAGTTAGACAATCGATTATGACTCAGATCCCTAAAAAAAAAAGTATAAAATCAATCAATCAGTCTTACCATGGTTCTAAAATGTAAATGAAAAGATAGAAAAACAAACACCAAACCAGAAAGAAAACAAGAAATTAACACCCAATCAAGTGTGAATATGAATAATAAAATACATGAGTAAAAATTTAAAACTTCTTTAGTGAGCTCGGATTTGTAGGGAGCTCTAGTGGCCTAGTGGCAAGATGCTGCACTGCAATGAAGGCTCGCGGTTAGAGGTCACCAGCCACTCTGCAGAAGGATGGGCAATCTCCTCCCGGGCAGTTAACTGCCTCTGAAAACCCTCCAGAGGGTCAGCTATGTGTCTCAATGGTACACACCACCACAGCAGGGGATTTGTGAATAAGGAGCTTTGCTGCCAACACAAATGTAAGCAGTTCAAATCCACCAGCTGCTCCCCTGCTGGAGACAAAGCTCTAAGTAGATTCCAACACAACAGCACATTAACAGCAAAAACTTCTTTAGATTCCATATAAATTTATTATTACTATTATTATTATTAAATAGGAAACATATTCATATGATTCATCAACCAAAAAGTAGAAAAGAATATATATGGTATACAATCTCCCATCCTGATCTCCAACCACCCAGTTCCTCCCTCATTTAAATGATGTGTAGCCTTCCAGATATTTTATGTATATACCAGCAAATTATTGAATATACCATGGACTGCTAGGAGAACAAACAGATTTGTCCTGGAGAGGGAGAAACTGGGCTGCTACTTGGAGGCAAGGATTTTTAAGCTTCGTCTGACATACTTTGGATCTGTTGCAAGGAGGGACCAGTCCTTGGACATCATGTTTGGGAAGGTGGAGGGAAAGCGCAAGAAAGGAAGACCCTCTATGAGATGGATCGATTCAGTGACTAAGGTAATGGGAGTAGGTGTGTGGAGACAGTGAGGCTGGTACAGGATAGAGCAGGGTTTAGGGCTCTTGGTACATAGGGTCGCTATGAGTCGCAAGCAACTCAATGGCACATAACAACAGCAACAACCAGCAAATTTCTTTACAGAGTTCTGAATAATTTACAGTTTTGCCTTTTTGCTTTCTTCACTTAATACATCTTACATGTCATTCCTGAGAGGTATGAATTTTTATCCTTCTTTTTAATGACAATATAGTAACACTATAACATATTTCAGTTATACATAAATAAATATGAAGATAGATTTTAGAAGTGAAGATAGTAAGCTTCTATAATAGAGTTGGGGTAGACCACATCCTTGACAGGGATGTGGTCTTCCTAAAAAAAGACAATCTAGCTTCAATGGAGGGAAATTCATCTCATTTCAAATTATAATGATGGCGGTAGTAGAGGGACTAACATTTACTAAATGTCAAGCACTGATCTATATGCACTGTGCACATATTAAAATCCTTAACAATCTTACAAGCAAATATTCTCCTGATAAGGAAAATAGGTATAGAGAGATCAACAATTTGTCAATCGAAGGTCACTCAGTTAATAAGTGGAGGAGCTATTAAAAACAACAACAACAACAAAATGCAAAATTCACCTCACTTTTAGCAAGCAGTCTATTAGATACAGCGAAGATTTCCATGAAATTAGCCATGAGTCTAAATATTTAAATAGCTTTTAAAAATTCACCTTGATGCTTCCTGGCATCTTTGCAAGTGTGAGGTGGAATTTAGCCCACACAGACCATCTGCACAAAAGATGTACTGTATGTTACAATATGGTCAGCAATAGGAACACACTAGAGATCCATTACAGATCACTTTATCTCTCTGTGCCACCACAGGCAGCTGACAGAAGCATGCAGGGTTGAACAATGTCTCTATCATAGCAGAACAATTTGTTCTCGGCTAGATTCATGTCTCTCCATCTGTAAAACCTAGCCAATTTTCCTTAAAAGCCTTAATTTACACAATGACATAATGAAAGCTAGCCTATCACTTTTCCATATAAAGTCTTATTCTAAGATGTGTGGCCCAGGTATCATCAGCTCAAGGAACACTTATGAATGAAAGCGTATACTGTGAAACAGAAGATAAAAAATATGAATTTGCCTCACAAAAAACCCTATTCAGATGCAGTCATCCAACTTATATTTGCTACTAACCATATACAGAACGTCAAACAAGTGAGATGCTTCTTTGTATTTTGTTATCATTTTGTGGAGTATTAATGGAAGCAGGTATTAAACTTTTAAGTCTCATTTGAGTTAGATATTACCTATTTTTGCTTCAGGGTGGCAAATGGATGTGTATAACAGCCAGCATAATGTAATTCAACATTTCATTCTTGCTGAAATTTAACTTTTTCCCCTTGCAGATTAAGAGCTTTCACTCTAATTCTAACATTATTCATAATACTTTTCCAAATCCTAAATCCCAATGGCATAATTTTTAACAGCAACCTTAAAAATGAAATTATCTTATCCTCTGGATTACTCCCATGGATGCCAATGATGACCAGATAATTATTTTTACAGAAAATCCTGATTAAATCAATCTAAAATAAAATTAAACTAAATTTACACATGGTCAGCATCAGTGAAATCTGTCCAATGTCTCTATTAGAAGAAAGTGTAGCAAGCAACAAATGCTGGCGAGGTTGCAGAGAAACTGGAACCCTTACTCCCTGTTGGTGGGAGTGTAAAACAGTGCAACCACTGTGCAAAGTGGTATGGTACTTTCTCAAAAAGCTGCCAATAGAGATACCATTCAACCCACCAATTCCACTACTGGGAATATACCCCAAAGAGACCATAAATGACATCCAAGCAAATATATGCACACCCATGTTTATCACTGCTTTGTTCACAGTAGCAAGGAGCTGGAAACAATCTAAGTGCCCATCAACAAATGAATAGATAGAGAAGCTGTGATATATTCACACAATGGAATACTACGCTGCATTGAAAAACAAGGAACTCATGCAATATTATTCAAAATGGGTGACTCTGGAGGACATTATGCTGAGTGAAGTATCTCAGTCACAAAAGGACAAATAATGCCGGGTGCCACTGTTGTAAAACAGGACTGACCTTGGGCTTGGGAGGAGACTGAAAAGGATGGGTTCAATAATGTATACTGCACTGAAACAGATGAGGGAGAAACTGTTTAAAAGATATATGTTATTAGGTATTGTTGTCATGACAGGAGTCTAGAGCAAAGGCTACATGGTGGAGTGGACCTGGGGGAGGGTTTGTAAAACAATGTAAGAATTTTTCTTTTACTTTTCCAAGAGGGTAGTGTACTAGGAGGGAGGATTGGAAGGGCAGAAAAGGGCAACAATGAATGAATGGAAATCCAAAGTCTCTGTAAATTTTTACTGAAATTAATAATAAATTTAAATAAAACAAAAAAAGAAGAAAGTGTAATTTTATTATCTTTAAAGAACCTTCAGCTTTTCCAACAGAATCAAAAGGATACTTTGCTACATATGTCTTTGGATAAATGCTTTCAAACAACCTCAGAGATCAGAAAACCATATATAATGAGGCTTTCTTGATCATTCTACAACACATCTACATTGTTGTTGTTATGTGTCTGAGTCGCTTGGGACTCACAGCATCTACACTGAATGGAGCTAAAAGGACACCCAGGAAGAACAGAAATGCCCTCCCAAAGCAGTACTGCCATAGAAAGTAACTAATACAGATTAGTTACATTTTTGTATACAGGGGAGTCAGAACAAACTCATAGCTAAGCCCCCAGCCAGTTTCCAGTCAGTAAGTCCCACAGGAAAATGACTACTCATCTGTCTTCTACTGAGCAGCTGATGGTTCTGAACTTTGAGATTTCACGTCTTTCAGTTAGCAGCCCAACTCCCTATCACTAAGCCACCAGAGTTCCCTACTTATAGATAGGTCTCTATTAAAAAAGCAGGTGTCTAACTGGATTATAAGGAGCCCTGTTAGTCATAGCTAAATAGTTGTCTTCTGCTGACCAGGTTGGCAGTTTAAACCCAACCATTTGCTCCACAAGAGGGAGACGCAGAGGTAGCTTCCACAAAGATTATAGGTTTGGGAGCTCCAGGGCAGTTAGTTCCACTCTGTCCTTTAGGCACTAAGCACTGGAATTTACTCTAAAGTACAAAAAAACCCTCCAAAACCAAATAAAATTATATATATATGTATTGATCTGATATCAGATATCTATGTAACAAGTATTTTACTGAACTATGTGCTGGGTTCTGTACCAAGTAAGGACTCATTAGTATGAGTAGTTTGAATCACTAGACTCATCACCCTATGAACAATGGCTCTGAACCTTGCCCTAGGATTAAAAAAGCTGCCAACTTTGTAGTTGTGATGTGCCTTGAGCTTTACTGGAAATGGGTAAAAGACTCTCTTTTACTCTGAAATTTAATAATTTAGCATGTACTAAGGCACTCTGGCAACAAAGCATGTTAATCAGAAGGCTTTGCATTTCTGGAGGTTAAAATGCAACAGCTCCGTGAGAGAAAGATGGGTAGTTTCCTCTGGAAACCTGACTAGGGTCACTCATAGCAAGTTGACATGAACTCAACAGCAGTTAGTAAGCAAGGAAGAGTGCAGAGAGGGAGCACAGACATGGAGATCTTAGCTTCCATAAACACGCCTTTCCTATTTTTCAAAGTATTTTTTTTTTAAAAAGGCTGAATGTCTAAATTTCAACTATCAGATATGAAACTCAAGATTAAGAAAGCCTGGTGCTATTCTTCCCAGTGGTTACTTATGAATTGCATTTTATTACCATAAACTTATGATAATTTAAAATCAAATAAAAATCCCACCAAAGTCCTGAAATGGTGACCTGTTTCAATGATTTTTCCCTTGAATACCCCTAAGAAATACTCAAGAACTTCCAAGTAACCTAACTCTTGATGGCCAGAACCTAAAGAGTCTAACTTGGCAGCAGTCAATAATCTTTTATCTTCTAACATTACTGATAACCGATAGTTACAGATGATAATCAGAGAGCAAAGGTCCTAGAGAATGCCCCCACTGTTGTAAAATCGGCA